GGGCGCGCGCCGCTCACGCCGCGGGCGCCCGCTCTGCCCTGCCCGCAGGTACATGTGCTCGCTGTCCCTCTTCCACTACTCCGAGTACCTGGTGACRGCCATCAACAACCCGCGCAGCCTCTCGCTCGACTCCTTCCTGCTCAACCACAGCTTCGAGTACAACCTGGCCGCCTTCTCCTCCTGGGTGGAGTTCGCCCTGGAGCGGTTCCTGTGCCCCGGTGCGTAGCTCCCGTCGCCGCCGCTCCGAGGCTCCTGCCTTGTCTGGGTGGGAAGCGATGCTCCGGTCGCGCGGGAGCCTCTACCCCGCCTCGGAGGGGGCTCGGGGAGGCTGGTGCTGCTTCCCAGGGCCGCCCTGGGCGGGAGGCAGCGCTGGGGCCCAGGTTGGTGCCGAGGCCGGTGGAGGCGCAGGTCCTGGCTTTGCACACAGGCCAGACCAACAGCCGTGCTGCTTCGGGCACCGTAAACACGGGCCCCGCCTCAGTGACACCCTTGGATGCTGCTGCCCGTGAAGAGCCGGGGGCAAACGGTGCCTTTTGCTGGCAGCAGCCACGCGCGGAGCGCGAGCAGRGCTTTACGTGCCCCTCCTTGCGAGGGGAGCACGCGGGCCCCCGCCCGAGCTTCCCGTCACCCCTGCGAGCCCGTTGCGAGCGGTGCCTGTTCCCCCGCAGAAATGAAGCAGGTGGCGTGGCTGAGCACCGCGGGGCTGCTCATGGTCATCTTCGGCGACTGCCTGCGCAAGGCCGCCATGCTCACGGCCGGCTCCAACTTCAACCACATCGTGCAGAACGAGAAGTCGGACACGCACACGCTGGTGACGAGCGGGGTCTACGGGTGGTTCCGGCACCCGTCGTACGTGGGGTGGTTCTACTGGAGCATTGGGACGCAGGTATCACATGCGGCGCGCTTGGGTGCTTTCCCCTGCTCTGTGTGTTTCTCTGGGCTGCCCCAAATGCATGTGTGGGGCTAAGGTGCCTGCTCGTAGCTGGGGGTCCTGAGGCCCCCGGCCTCCCCCTGCCCGCGTGGAGGAGCATGGGCCCCAAGGCTCGTGCTGCCGTCGGCCGCTTCCCAGGCTGCCAGGGCACGCAGAGTTCCCCTTGCAGTGGGTGAGCGGGCTCAGCCCTGCTCCTGTCGCGTAGCTGTAACGTGCAGCAGCGCCCGGCACCGCTAGCGCTGAGCAGGGGCAGCCCRACCCGGCTCTGGGCGCTGCCCCCATCCCACTCTTCGGGTGCTCGTGGCCTTGGTTTCTCCTTATTGCAAGGAACCAGAAACCTGCACAGGGAGCAGCGTGACGGCGTCAAGACACATGGGCCCCAGYGGCTCCTCCGTGGAGCCAGCGCGCCCGGCTCGGTCGGGGTGATGAGAGCGCATATGCGCTTACAGGCTGCTTGCTCCATGAATCCTGGCTTCGCAATGGAAATTCTGCAGAGGGGTTGGGACGTTTTGGTTGTTTGACTTTTCCTAGGCCGCCTGGCGCTTTGGCTTTAGTGGGTGCAGGGCTGGAGGCAGTGCAGAGCTCACCAGGGCCCCCAACAGCCAGTGCCTCTCTGCAGGTTTTGCTCTGCAACCCCATTTGCGCCGTGGGCTACACGCTGGTGTCCTGGCGCTTCTTCAGGGAGCGAGTGGAGGAGGAGGAGATCACGCTCATCCACTTCTTCGGGGAAGAGTACCTCGAGTACAAGAAGAGGGTGCCCTCGGGCCTGCCGTTCATCAGGGGAGTTAAGGTGGAGCTGTAGCAGGTGCCTGCGGAGCCTCTCTTGCTGAGCAAACGGCAGCGCTGCGCGTGCTGAGGACTGTGCGCACGCTGGCGCCCGCAGCAGCAGCCGCCTCCCTGGATTTCCTGGCCGGCCACCAGAAGCTCCTAAAGGGCTGAGGAGCGGGGCGGCTGCCCGGGCCGCTAGCAGAGCAGCCGCTCGCTCGTCCTGGCCGGGAGGAGCGCTTGGATCCTCGGGGTAATGTAGCCTGTGGCGGTCCTTGGAGGAGACGGCCGCTCTGCCCCCACCGCCGCTGCGCCGGGACTCGCAAACGAGCCCTGCGCTGCTGCCCTTGCACTGCAAAGCTGCTGCTTGGAAGATGGTTTCTACAGCACAGCTTAATTCTAATGCATCCTGAGCTGGCGAGCTCCCCAGCGCAGCGTCAGCCTCGTGGGAGCTGCTTCCTCCAGCCGCTGTGTGCGGCGGGGAGCTCTGTGCGCGCGCCTGCCACAGCGTGACCCTCTCCGTCCCTCGGAGCACGAGGGCCCGCGCGGCGGCCGCGGCGCCCAGCAGCCTCCCCGGCGCCGTGGGAGCAGGAGCCTCTTCCCAGCTCGCACCACTCCTGGTGTCTCTATTAAACTCAGCCTAAGCGGAGCGTGGCTGGTGGTGCCGGGGTCTCCTGCCACCGCGGCCCCAGGTCGCTGCTTCCTTTCCCGCCGGGTGTCCTCGCTGGCCCAACCTCTGTCCTGCAGAGGCTCCTCGCTCTTTTTCCTTGGCTCGCCTCTCGTTTTCCCTTTTTGTTTTTTCCCCCCAAGATCCTTGCCAAGTTTGGCTTACGCCCGGGGTCGTCCCGTGACTAGGCCCTGCTGCTAGGGGCTCTCTGCAGAAGGCAGGAGGTGCTTGCTGACGCCTGCGCACGCCCGCTTCGGGAGTGGCTGCTGTGCAAGTTCTGCGGGACAACTGCTTCCCTCACTGATACCAAAGAGGTTCCGGTTTCCTTGGGCTGCGCGGGAAGGTGGCCGTTCGCCGGGACGCGCTGGGCTGGGCTGGGCTCGCACCGGTGCTCGCGGCGGGCGCCGTGTGGGGCACGGCTCTGTGGGGCGCAGCTCGGGAATGCACGCTCCGCCACGCTTCATCTGTCTGTCTTTTTAAGGGGTCGGGGAGGAGAAAGGAAAGAAAACATTGCCAACTTCTGTCTGGTTGTTAGGGGGGATGTCCTGAGGCGCTGGTAACGGCTCCGACGTTAGAGTGCTGAGCGCTTTTACTTCCCGAGGGGTTTTCAGTGCACCTCGGTGCTAGATTGAAGCATGAAGCCCTGTCTTTCAGCAGCCCGGGGAACTGCCTAGTCAGAGAAATAGGGGCAAATTCTTAATTCTGCACTTGCTTAACCCCCACAAAATCCTTCTCTTCTCCGGGTCATGCTTTGTATTACAGCGCACTCTCTGCATTGGGTAGCAACTTGCATCATTCACTGATAACTTTGTCTTCTACTCGGTATGTTTTTAGCTCGGAAGAAAGGAATGTGAAAATACAACAATAGTCCCTTTGCAGGAGAGGTGCCTCTGTTCTGCTCCTCCAAGGAAACTGTAACCTTTGCTCTTATAGCCAACGTACCTCAGACGACTCAGACAAGTTTAGTTTTTAACTCGGTTAAAGATATTTTTTGTACATCCTGAAATGTATCTCCTAAGAACTTGCATAAATGTACTTTGAAAGAAGCGCTCGTCACTCGGCTTTGACGTGAGTAGCAGCAGAGGGTACTTGGCAGCCTCAGCGTGTTCTTTGCGGGGGCCTGAGGTGCGTCCCRAGCCGCCCCGCTGCCCTGCACACCTGCCTCTGTCCTGTGCTGTCCCCTGCGCCCTGCAGCCCCGTCCCTTGCGAGCGTTTGTGTCCTAGGAGCGGGCCCTGTGGCGGGAGCGTCCGTGTCCCCAGAGCACGGCAGGTGAGGGGAAGGGGCCTGCATTTCCAGTGCAGTCCTCCCTCGCTCCCTCCYGTGAGCGCTTCTGTGCTGCAGCGGCTCAGCCCTGCCTAAGGGGCAGCGATAGGGAYGGGGGCAGAGCGCCTCTCCCTGCGYCGGCACAGCCCTCTTGGTTGTGTCCCTGCGAGCAGGCTGCTGGCGTTTCCCAGAGCCGCTGCCCGTGCTGCAGAGCAGAGGGGCCGAGGGCGCCCGTCTGCCCCACGCGCTCCCCTGGCTGCGCGGGACACGCTGCTTGTTCACACACTTTATTGGGGCGCGCACGGAGTGCCCGCCTGAGCCCTGCTAGACCGCGTGCTCGGGGCACACAGCGCTGCTCTCCTGGCCCCGCGGCTGCTCTCCCCTTTCCCAAGCGTCTCCTCGGCGCCGGGCRCTCGCCAGGTCCCCATGATGTTCCCCAATGCCGCCACAACGCCCTCCTCGCTCGGAGGGTGCAGAGGAGCCAGGCGCAGCGGGGGACACACAGGCACCATCTACATATGTGGGGCGGGCGCGGAGCCCTCTGCGGGCGCCCGCAGCAGCGACCCGGCCGGCTCCTCGCGGCGCTCCTGCAGCCTGCAGCGACCGGGGCGAGCGGCAGCGCTGCGCCCGTGTCCCCGGCGCCACTGTGCCACCTCCACCGCCACCTCACCTGGGCTCCAGGCGCTCCTTCACCTTGGCGATGGAGCGCACGTAGGGYGCGATCTGCTTGGCGATGGTGCCCAGGCAGCTGTTCTCCTGGCGCAGCTGCAGCAGGTCGTGGAGCTGCGCTGCAGCGCGCGGCCGGCGCGCCGTGAGCGAGCGAGCGCGCCGAGCCACCCGCCCGCGCCCCTCTCCCGCCCGCCGCCACCTTCATAGATCTCCTGCTCGTTGGCCACGCGCTGGAACGTCTCCTCCCAAGCCTGCGGGCAGAGCGGGGCGGGCGGCTCGAGCGGGGCTGGCGGTGGCGGGCGCAGGGCGCGCGGGGCCGTGGCCCAACCTCCTCAAAGACGCTGCGCATCATCTCCACGGAGGAGTAGTGGGCGGCGATGCGCACGTCGACCTGCTGCGACTTCTGCAGCACCTCGCCCATGGCGTCGGCGCGCACCAGCGAGTGGTGCTTGGTGAGGTCGCGGTGCAGCTCCTGCACCTGGTCCTTGAGGCTCTGCACCTCCGCCTGCAGCCCCTGCGCGCCACGCGGCAGCGGCCAGTGCGGGCGGCGGGGCCGGGCAGCGGTGCCCGCGCGGGGCTGTGCACGCCAGGGGAGCAGTGTCCTTACCCGATAGGTGTTCTCGTAGTCGCGGCAGTGCTGGGCGAAGGGCGAGTCGGTGCCCTCGGCCAGCAGCACCTTGGTGCTGATGCCGCGGTGCGCGGACGGCTTGCGCGTGGCAGGACTGCTGCCCGCGGCCTTGGCAGCACCCGCCTGCCCCGGCACCAGCAGCGTCTTGGAGCAGGGGCCGCCGGCGATGCTGCGGTGGAGCGAGGYGGGAGCCCGTGACGGCCGGGGCGTGCTGCCTGCGTGCCCGCCCCCGGCCTCCCCCGCGCCAGCCCCGCAGCCCTACCGTGCAGTGCCCCGGCAGCCTCCCCGCGCCGGCATCGCGCACCGTGCCACGGCGCGGCACAGCGTGGCACGGCGCAGCACGGCGCAGCACGGTGCAGCGCAGAGCTCCGCAGCGGCACCAGCGCCCTGCAGCCCCTGGCCCCTCTGCCTGGCGCAGCCAGCAGCGCCTGGCAGGGCCCCGCCGTGACATCAATGGGCCTAAATATATCCCGGGCAGGAGCCGCATCGGGGCACTTCCCCGAAATTCTGATAAAAATAGGGAGGCTCCGGGCGGCAGTGCGGGCAGGGCCGGTGCCCGGTCAGTAGCAGCTCGGGACCGACCCGGGGACTGCGGTGGGAGCGGGGCTGGGGGTGCTGGGCTGGGGGGCCGCTCCGCGCCGCCTGCCCCATGTGCTGTTCCCAGAAGTGTCACTTGAAGCGGTGCCTGTWGCTATCAGCACAGCTGTGCCCTGCGCTGTGCCCGGCCACGCCAAGGTGACAGCTCAAGGGCAGCCCCGGGACGGCAGCGGGGGGCACGGTGGGGTCCGCGCAGACCTGGCTGCAGCTGAGCTGGGCCGGGTGCGCAGCGGGTGTGAGCCCCGCGGGGCCGGCACTAGTGCAGGGCGGGCGCTCACATGTTGGTGGCGGTGATGCCAGTCCCGATGGCACCGGTGCTGCTCCCCACGGCGCGGCGCGGTGCCAGCGTCAGCAGCGGCTCCAGGCAGCGTGCGAACTCGGCCCGGTACTCGGTGCTGATCTGCGGGTGGGAGGGAGGCAGGCGGCACATGGGCTGGGGTGCACGGTGGCACCGCGGGCTGCTGCCAGGCAGTGCCGTGCTGCACCGTGCCGTGCTGCATGAGGCTGCAGCGTGCTGCACCACACCACGCAGCACTGCTCTGCAGTGCACTGCATTGTGCCATGCTGCACTGTGCCGTGCTGCACCACACCATGCAGTACCGCTCTGCAGGGCGCTGCGTTGTGCTGTGCTGCACGAGGCTGCACCACCCCGCACCGTGCTGTGCCCGGCCACCCATCGGGCTCTACCTTGCTGCTCTGCGCCGGTCTCAGGCGGTGCGGCAGCTGCACGATCTTCTGCAGCCTCTCCATGAGTTGCTGCAATGGAGCCAGATGGGCAGCTCGATGCGGCGCGACACGGCGAGCCCGGAGCGCTGCCCCTCGCCCGCCCCACTCACGTAGCCCAGGTCCAGGAACTCGGCCTTGCTGGCAGAGCTCAGGAAGGCCGAGCAGGTGACCAGGTGGACCTGTGGGCCGCGGGTGAGGGCAGCGCGGGGCGGCCGGTGCTGCAGCCGCCCATCCAGCCCTGTCCCTCGCGCGAGCCCACCTGCAGCGTGGGCAGCAGCGCGGCCAGGTGCGCCAGCTGCTCGCGCAGCGCCTTCTCCTTCTCCTCGTGCTGGCTGTGAGTGGGGCAGGTGGTGGCGCCGCGGGGCAGCTCGGGGACTCACCGCGGCCCCACACCAGCCCCGGCACTCACCTCCGCACCGCCCTGAGCAGCGCCTGCCGCCGCTCGGCCAGCGTCTCCTGCGGGGCAGCACGTGGGTGCCCGTGGCCGGGCTGTGCGCCGCGCGCCGCGCCGCCCCGCGCACCTGCATGCTGCTGCACAGCGAGCTGATGGCCTCCTCCTCGTCGCAGGCGCTGCTGCGAACCTCCTCGATCATGGCCTTGAGCAGCACGATGGCCTCGCGCGTCGCCGTTTGCAGCTCCTTGACGGCCTGGCAGGGCGGGCGGCTGTGTGGCACCGTGTGGCACCCGCAGCACCCTCTATGGCCCCATGTGGCACCTGCGGCACCCTTCATGGCACCGCGTGGCACCCGCGGCACCCCGTACCATGACGGCCTGGTCGAGCTTCTCGCAGCCCTGCGCATACGCCGTCTCGAGGTCAATGCAGTGCGCGCGGCTCTCCCTGCGGGGCGGCCGCGTGAACGGGGATGCAGGGACATGGGGACACGGGGCAGCGGGGACGCGGGCACCTACCCCTGCATGTCGCGGAAGCAGCAGATGCAGAGCATGGACTTCTTCTCGGTGGAGAACATGATGTAGGGCTCCTGGTGCAGCGCTGCGGGGCGGGTGGTGAGTGCCGTCCCCCTGCCCCCTGTCCCCACAGCCCCCAGCACTCACGGCACTTCTTGTGCACGTCCTTGGTGCGCTTGGCCAGGGCGACGACGTCGTGGCGGGCGAACATGCGCGCGCGGTGCGTCTCGTCGCGGCACGGCRCGCACAGCGCCTGGCTGCACGTGTTGCAGAAGTACATGGCGTCCTGCTCCTGCGGGCACAGCGGCGGCCAGCTCGTCCCTGCTGTGCCCGGTGCCATCTCTGCCATGTCCAGACCCGTGTCTGGTGCCGTCCCTACCATGCTCGGTGCCATCCCCGCCCGGTGCTGTGCCGGGTGCGGTGCCCAGTGCCATCCCCACTGTGCCTAGTGCCATCTCAGCCATGCCCAGGGTCGTCCCCATTGTACCCAGTGCTGTGGCCCGTGCCTTCCCCGCGGTGCCCGGTGCCGTGCCGCGGTGCCGGCGCGCTCACCGCCTTGGCGCAGCGCCGGTCGCAGTTGGCACACTGCACCTCCTCCTCGGCRGCGCCGGCCACCAGGAACTGCAGCAGCCGGTCCACGGGGGGCAGCCCGTTGGCGCCCTTCACCACCGACGGGTGCCTGGCGCGGCACGGGCCGTCCGTGGGCGCTGGGTGCCACGCAGGGCGGCGCCGCCGGGCACGCGCACCCGTGTGCACCCATGCACCCACCCGCTGGCACCCCGTCCCCCATGCCCACCCGTGCCCCCCTGTGTCCCCCTATCCGCCCATGTCCCCCTGTGTCCCCATGTCCCCTATGTCCCCATCTGCCACGCCCCATGTCCCTGTGTCCCTTACCCGCAGAACAGGCAGGTGAGGTGCCCATCGGCAGTGCAGCCTCCATGTCCCCCCATGCCCCCCTTGTCCCCATGTCCCCCGTGTCCCCCATGTTCCCGTCGCTCGTGTCTCTGTGCCCTGTGCCCCCCTTGTCGCCGTGTCCCCCTGTGCCCCTTACCCGCAGAGGGGGCAGGCGAGGCGCCCGTCGGCCGCGCGCCCGCGCAGGCAGCCGGCGCAGAAGTCGTGGTAGCAGTCGAGCAGACAGGGCTGCTCGTAGGGCTCGCGGCAGAGCCGGCACACGAGGGGGTGGCAGCCGCCCCCGGGCAGCGCCCCGCCCGCGCCCGGCGCCCACGGCAGCTCCGCGGCCATCTGCACGCGGGGGACGGGGACGTGAGCCCGGCCGCGCCGCGCCGTGTCCCCCCTTGGTGTCACCCCTTGGTGTC